AGTCTGGCTGGGGAAGCTCCCTCCTGCATGAGGTCAGACCTGGGCTTGGATGAGAATCTCCACCACCACTGCCCACTGCCAGCACTTTGGAGAATCTTCTTCCATGGAAAAACGCCTCTGTTGCTGACATCCATCTGAATTCATCTCGACAGGCATTAAAAAGTTTCTCTGACAGGCAGGGACTGCTATGCAAAAGAGCTAAAAGGTGAAGGGGAACTCCCTTGGGTTGGATGCTATGTCCTGGTTTCTTTGCAGGGTCACAGCTCATTGCTCAATGTTGCAAGATCACTTCTTGTATGTAAAGAAACAAAGCAAGCTTTGGATACCACAGGCCAGCAGTTCAGCTTCTCCAGTACATGACTTGACTCAATCACCCCCAGATCCTTCCTGCCACCCAGGCTCATCCTTCTAGTTTTTCTTTAGGCTTCCAGCTTTTCTTTGAGTAAAATATAGAGCACCATATAGCACCAGTGCAATATTGCATACTGTGCATATGCAACTTGTCCCCAAGGGAGTAAAGGCATGTTGATACGAGTAAAGCATTGCCCTTGTTTGCCAGGAGCTCTGCTCCCGTTTCGAGGTGCCACTCGCACCCCTCCCTGGACGCCAGAGCTTGGCATGTCACTCCATGGGTGACACATTCCAGAGCACAATCAAACCTATTGTGCAGCTCTAAAACAGTTTTTGCTTTAATGTGGGGGGGGGGGGGGGCGGGCAGGAACAGCACGAGGATTTTATATCTAATCCAATAAATCTACACTGACATCTTGTGGAGATCATGAGACCCGAATGCCGCAGCCATTCAGCAGGGTGGGATTTACACCCTCGCTGTGTCCTACTGGACACCATCACAGCAGCAGCCAGACTTCCCAAAGACTTCCCAAAGCACCCATAGGTGTGTCTGTGGTGAAAACCAGGCCCTGCAATCTCAGAAGTCATAATTCTCTGTCCACGAACACCATTTTGCTAAAGTGATCCTCACAAACCCAAATAAAATGAGACTCTCTTAAATCCTCACTGAAAGCAACACCATGGCCCCTCTTGCATAAATGCTGTGATGTTTCAGGCTCCTCCTCATTGGAAGCTTGTGCTTTGATGAGCTATTTTCATGCTGGAGTTTTATTATCTCTGTAAGTACTGGAAGAAAATGGACCTGAGTAGCACTCCAGGACTCCTTTAATGCTCCTCTTCATCTAAAAATACATGGTTTAAGCAAACCGCCTCTAGTTTGGGAACACATGCAAGATTTTCCTCCCTATTCACCCCACGCATTTTAGCTCCTCTGCTGAGTCAGAACGGTTAAGTTAAGCCACTGCTGTCTTTCTTCCAGTGCTTGGGTAAGCGCTCAAGGAGTACAATCCGCTTGTTAGGCCACATCTATGCCACAGCGTAATTGCTTGGTAGGGGTTAAAGCCAAGAGCTGAATCCCAGCACAAGATAATCTAGCAACCAAACCATACAATCACTCCTCCAGCTTCTTCCTAATACTGCACTGGGGAGCAAACACACTCACTCCATAGTGGGGGGAAAAAGGGCTTCATCAAGTCTGATTTCTAGCAACCCATTCATATCAAATAGGTTTGAGAAGATGGAGGATGGCTTCAGGTGTCAGATGTAAAGTTTGGGCTAGTGTACAACCCAAGGCGCTGGCATTTACACCTCACTGAGACCCCCTGCGTTAACCCAATAAATTACTCATCCCTTCATGGGGTTTTCACCCTACTCACTCCTATCTTTCCTTTTGGGCAAGGGACCATCTCTGAGAAGTTTGGCTTTTTCCAGCCCAGTTTCTGTCCTGTCCAGTTAGGGGAGTGAGGAGACACGGAGCCAGGTTAAAACAAAGTTGTGAGCAAGTGCTTTGGATTTAACTTCGATAATCAGTTTGATCATTGGTGGGGCAGGCCAAGATCGGCCCTTGGGAAGCAGAAATAAAGGAGTTACAGGGACAGAGACAGGCAGGTAATAAATTTTCTGCCTTTAACTCCTCCATTACTCCTTTACAAACCATATGGGCCCCTTTCATTCCCCCCTTTCTTCCCTTGCCCTGCCGACATAGAGTCACTGCCTTCTGCCAAGGCTTCTACTTACACCAGTGCCTCTGTCTCCTCCGAGATGGCCAGAGACCCTCTGGAACCGCTGCAGTAGCACCAGACGGGTGGAGAATGAAGACTACGCAGGTGTGATGGAAAGTGGGGGAAAAGGAGCTTGGACTTCATTGGTGCAGCAGCCAACTTGGGAAAGCCATGACCAATACTCACAGTGCTATCAACAGCTACCACCATCACCAACAGCAAGTCTCTATGCCTTTGCATGCAACTTTGCAGCTCAGCCACCTCCACTCAACGAGATGTTCTCCTTCTGCTACATACCCATTGTAGCCATCCCAGAAGGAAAACTGTCACCTAAAAATCAGTCACGGACAACATCACCTGCAAATGCAGCTCCAGGTCAGTCTGCTCCTTTTTGCTTTTCTCAGGGCAGCATCAACTGCCCCAGCCCTGCCAAAGCCAGACAGCTTTCTGATGCAGATACCAAGGCGGTACGGCATTAGCAGCACATTAACAACACCTCAGGTTCATGCAAAAAGAAAGAAACTAAGACTGCAGAACACGACCTTGGACAGATCCTAACGCTGAGTCCATTAAGTCACACATAATACCACCTAACCAGGTACAAGAGGGGGCAAACCAAACGTCACAAGAAAGGCCCGAACGACTCCAGCGTGGGAATCACCAGCTGCAGCACTGGCTCCGCTCTGAACAACAGCGGACAGCTTTTGTCCTTTGGGCTGCAAAAAAGGGGTGATTTTTATGCTTCTAAGTGACTCATCTGTAAGTAATGCTTCAAACTCCTGCATGCCTACTCCTTCAGGGCTACCAAGAAGTGTACACCCCAAAAACCCCCCCCACATAAACGCCCTGCCACTTGGGCTCTCTTAATGTGCCTTGAGCAGTCCCAGCAAGCATCTGCACGTATGTGCAGCTAGGTCTGATTATTCAAATCCTGTTGCCTAGTATTAACTCTCAAATCTATATTTAAGCACCTAAGTAGGAATTACTACAGCTTTCCAAAGATCCTAAGCACCAAGAGCTCTTGTTAAGAGCTTGTCGAAGTACTGACCTCCTAATGAATCTGTTTAAATGATAACATTCACCTTGCTCCCAGTGCTGTGAAATTCAGTACTTTCAGCTAATGCTCCCAAACCTCTTGTGGCAAGAGCCGAGCCTGTGAGTGTCCTGTCTTTCATATCAAAACACAGGTTAGATGCAAATACTTGGAGGAGGTATTTCTAAAAGCCCACGGTGAATTCAAAGTCACCGTACCTTATTTCAGAAAACGCTTGCAATACAGCAGAATGCAGGTGGTGTATCACAGTTTGGTAGAAGTCTGGGAAGAATCATGTCTCTGAAGTAAAACGTATCTTGGCACTGAATCGAAAATTAAAACTATCCTCGTACTAAATGGAGGTACTTTGATACAATTCTCACTCTCTCCATTCCAAAGCCAGGAAGCCTCTGAAAATTTCTGCAGAATTTGAACCTTGCTGTGCTTACAGCTAAAAAGTCAAAAAGCTGCTTCTGCTTTCCACAGCCTGAGTCTTGCCCTTCGCCAGACAGGCAAACTCACGTCCTGCAGATGAGCAGAGCACAGCAACGATATTCCGACTCATAGAAAAAAGGCCAATTTTAATTTTTACATTGCTTTCTTGCAATTCTGATTTAAAAATCAGTTTGCATATGAAGCCAGTGTTTTATCTTCATTCTGTAACTTCCTCCTTCCTGCTTGAGTTATGAGGAAATGTGAGAAAAAGATAGGAGCATATTCATAGGGCCAAGAGCTGCTAAAGTGGTTGGAGTGAACACAAGAGGACAAGGAAGAACACAATATAGGCAGTTGGAAATGCTCTGGAAAGTTAAGCAGCGAGATGTAATCCAGGATTCTGAATGACCAAGTGAGTAATTCTGGATGGAAATTTAACAAGAGATAACTGAAGTAAAATATATTGCAATTGCTTAATAGATACAAGGGACCATACATATTTAATTAGAATAAAGGATCACCTAGAAAACACGAAGCTACTTCACCAGCATCGGAGGACTAGATGGAAAACAGCAGCGGCATCACGCAACAGCAATCTGTGGTCAACAACTCTCCTTGCCAGCCGTGTCAAGTCCTCTTTCTAGCCCTGCAGGCGCAGGAGATACGGCCTCAACTCCAAACATTACAGCAATCAGAAAAAAGCTTGCTCTAATGAAACAGAACTTTATGGATTACGTGACAACTAGACCCATTTTTAAACTACAAATAGTGATGGGAAGCTGGTCAAAAGCTTCAGAATGGATGTACGGATGGTAGGAGAGACTTCCCTTATTATTTTACATAATTCACCAGTATTATGCTGTGCACATGTCTTGAGAATACAGTAGCCTTACACTGGGCAGACTAACAAGCATTCAATTCAAATCACTTAGTCGTTACCAAAAATTTTAAAACGAATCCATAAAGATAATTAGTGAAAGTGGGAGAGAAAGGATTAATACCATCCAAACACCAGTGTATTTAATGAATTAGCAAAATTAACTGTTACTATCTCAGTAACAGCTTTTCAAAATTAGAGCTACATCAGGAGTATTGAAAACTGAAAGCATTGCAAGTTTTCCAGAATGGGAAAGATGATCAAACCTGCCAAGGTACACACGAAGTGCGAAAGGTGTAGGAAGTGGAATTAGACCTACTATTTTGTATGGTCAAATGATTAGTTTCAAATTTAAAAGACAACAATTTTGACAAAATACATTTTAAATGCCCATTCTACAAAAGCTGTACTTTTCCGCTCCTTCTTTTGTTGTCAAAAAACACCTACATATACATGGACATACGCACATGAAAGTATAACCTTTCAGTTTATTATTTAAAATACAACTTGCACTGATAGTATTTCCATTATAAGAAATCATGAATTTTGACATCATGATTCTTCATTTGCACCTTCCCAAGCCTCAAATGTCTTGAAGAAATTCCTTCTTTTCCTCAAAATACTTCTGAAACCACTCAATATGTTCAATCTTCTGTTTAACACTGAGGTACGGGTTTTTCGAAAGCCCACAGATGACAAGTTCCATGAAGTGGCGAACAGGTCCTTGCTTCGGAAAGTCTTCAAGGTGTTTCTCCAGAAAGATATGTTCATGAAATTCAGCATCATCCTCCATCCCTAACAGAAGGGATCAAAAAAAAAAAAAAAAAGACAAAGTTATTATCATAATACAACAGCAAATTTAACAAAGTAAAAAAGGACACAGTTTGCAAATAATCTTAAATTAGTAAAATTAATGGTTCCATGCCTTTTAATTCTTTTGCACAGTTAAGCCAATCACACAGAAGGGGAAGAAACCGCAGAATTTTATGATATTTCTCCCTCCACACAAACATGTCAGCTTATATCATACTCCTGCCTACCATATTGCTTCCGTTTTGTAGTCTCACTTATAAGAATATTTAAATCAACTTGCTGGCTGGTAACCTCGCTGCAAGCTGATGCCAGGGCAGAAGCAGTGGGAATAATTAAAAAAAATAATCAGTCTTCTTGCTTAAAACCTGTTTGTTCAATACACGAAAATTTTGATCCATCATAGGCATCACCTTTTAGACTGGGGACACGTTCTTAACAAAGTCTTTAAGAAAACACTGATTGCCTAAATTGTGCAGAGGATTAAAGAATACAAGCTAGTCTTGAAAAAATGAGGCAACCTCACGAAGTATCTAATACTGAATAGCTAACACACACTCGTACGTTCATTCCAAGTCATGGTTTTAACATCCTATTGCTATCAAATGGGCACAGAAAATTGTTTTTCTAATATTTTCCCTGCATCTGTTTGTGTATGCTGATGTAAAAAAGTCATAACCAGCACAAAAGATGATGCATTCAAAAGCATCCACAGGAACACGACTAGAGATTATTGTAGCTCTCTAATCAAGCACAGCTCAGATCCTATGGTAAATTTTTATTCTCTGTCCTGTGGATTTCCTTTGCTGTGGTTCACACTATGATGCTAGAGTACACAAGACAAAGACTCAGAACACAAATTCCTACATCCATAAAAAAGGCTGCTTTTGTAGTTCCCAACTCTGAGATAAAAAACACAAAGCAAACTGGGATTCGCAACTGAAAGCTTTTTCTTCAGTTAGGGATACATGAAAAGGTTTATTTGATCCCAATTTGCTATAGATTTGTAAATGACATTCGCACCTTTAAGCAAAAATCTGTTATTAGAGAAAAATATTGCATATGAACATTTCTAGATGACAAAAATGGGAAGTCTACACCATAGACAGAAGTGTACACATTTTTCTGTGCTAGCTAGGACATGACATATTATTCAACAACATTAAATCAGGAGTGTTAAAATTGAGGTAATTAACCCACGTCAGTCCTAGGCTTCCTCCTGTGCTACAGCTTCTAAGTTTCAGAAGAAATGATGCACATCTCTGGGATGGAGGATTCTCTCAGTTGTACTCATTAAGTCCGCATTATTTCTTTCCCATTTTAAATTTTAGGTACTGCAGTATCTGAAGGAGCAGGGAAATACATCTGTTTTTCCCAGAAATGTGTGAGTGTATCAATACCAGCTACATGCCACATTTATCTCCCTTGTCCTTGAAAAAGAAAGCATGTTTCCTTCTTCAGAAGTGCTCCTGGTTTTCCTTTATGTCAAAAGGAAAAAGAAAAAAAAAAAGGTGATGTCAGCTTCAGAAGACATATTTCTGCTGTGCTTGGAAACCTACATCCACTTGCAGAAGCAGAGAGGACCCTTTTACCATGCCACCCACACTGACTTTCCCCCACCAAAGGAAGGTGGAATCTCACTGTACTCGGACGCTGCTGGTTGCTTTCATAAGATAACATCCTTTCCAAATTTCCATACTTCTGCTGGTCACAAAAACCTAAGAAAACTAAACGAACAAACTCACTACTGAAAGAATCTGAATAATGCTGACAGCGAAATTTGGCCGTCTGGATGCTCTTCTTTTGGGCACAGATACAGGGTATCAGCAGAGATTATGTCTAATTAATAATTTCAGCAATTTTCATCTCTAACCCAGAAGAAATCAAACCATTTATAGTCTCACAAAAATGCAGGTGAGAAGGAAACATTACATCATGTATTTTGATCTCCCATTTGTCAAAGACATGACATATGGTTTAGGGATGAAGTGTTAAGTCCAAACATTTCAGTTAGACCACATACTTCAGTCCTCTCAAAAGTGAAGTGTGCATCACAAAAAGAGACCACAATTGTCCAAAGCATCAGAGGCTGAGACCTCTGGTGGGAACTGATTAGATGAGATATGCTCGCATGGCTCCCTCCCCACCCCCAGCAAGCCATAACTCCTGCTGCATGGGAAGAACAAGCCTGTCCCTCAGTCTCTCTTGCACTGTCCTCGGAAACCTAATTTGAAAGAATATGCATGACAGGAGTCTGAAATAGAGGATTTTCTTTATCAACCCCAAAGCTAGAAGTCATCCACTCTCAATATCCTATTTCCAGGCCCTTACATAATACAGAACAGAACGTCTGGGGAATTTCTCTAGCTAGATCACTAACCCTTCCAAGACATGATCACTCCTACCTTAAAGATGACATCTCAAATGCAGATGTCCATCCTTATAGGGAGGCGTTGCTGACATGCTATAAAGATGACCAAATATCCTGATCTAGTGGAAAGTGTCCTTGCCCATGGCAGGGGGTTTGGACGAGATGATCTTTAAAGGTCCCTTCCAACACAAACAATTCTATGATCCTAGGACTTTTAGAATGAGATAAATCACACCCTTACAATAGGTCCTCAGAATAGACCCAGAATTAGTAAAACAAACCCCTCCTAAGATGGCTGTGTAACATTTGTACCTCTCTTGGCAAACTGATCCAAAGCTGCTCTGCTGGGAACAGCATCTCAGCAAAACAGCCAGAACAGGACTTAGTGTACTTTTGCCTACAGAAGCCATCAGGGACAATTGAGGCATTAATTTTCCGAGACTTCCATCAAGCCTATCATTTCTGCCGTAACAATCTCTGGCCCACCAGAAGCATTTTCTCCTCAGAATGAGGTGCTAAACTAAAGGAGCACCAATAATCTGCACTGTCCTTTTTAACAACTGCTCTCCTCAGGATGTGTGTCATCAAGGCATAAATGCACAGAAATGATTTTAAAAAGGGGCAGAAATCAACATTTTTCCCAACTTTTTGCCATGGCAAGTCATGAAGCAGAATTAAAGCTACTAGAAGCAGAAAAGGCAAGCAGAAAGGAGGAGGAGGGAGAAAGATGTTACACAAGCTATACTAATGGTTTGCTAATCTGCTAAAAATTAATCAGAGGTCAGAGAGATGGAGAGAAAAAAAAAAGGTAGTTTGCTGCTTAACAGTGATTTTAACTGCATCAGATAAGGGAAAGGACAGGCAGGCAGACAACAGGGCAGCAGGGTGGCGGGGGAAGACTGTTACTGGCCACTGTGGCAAGCCAGTACGTCTAGCCACATCTTCAGATGTTCACACCAAGGCGAGCCAAGTTTTAAAAATCATGACCTTGCCCTGATGCCTCAAAGCACAGCACAGTGCCTTGCTAAAGCGCTCTAACAAGAACACCAGAGATGTTCTGAAGCCAAGAACCCAGGAACAAGTGGTCTTCTTTCTTTTCTTGTATTTCACTTAAAACTTTAACGGGTTTATAATGCTAGAAGTTGAGTATATGCACTTCCTCAATAGAAAATTTAATTACACTTATGTTTTTAAAGCCACGTGCTTGTGGCATAAAAGGAAAATCACATCTTTCTTTATACAGAACAAGCTGAGGTAATGTCCTCCTATTGAGGGAGATGACTGTATCAAAACTGCAAAATTAACAGCAGGAAGGGGCATCTTCTCTTGCAGAGCCACTGAAATTACAATATGTTGATATAATTTGAGTGAGGCTCTCGAGCTTTTAACTGTGCTTTGACATACCTGATCTGATTAACAGCCTATGGCTGGCAGTTTGATAGGATGGAATTTACAGACTTGATATTTCAACCTGAGAGGTGATAGATTTTGGAATGCTCCACTGGAATTTTCCACATGACTAGTCTTTGTGGACAAATCAATAAAGATTCTTGTTTAAGCATATGTAAAGACTCTTTGTCCATTCGCCACCCCATCCCAGACAGCATGGTTCCGGCCGCATTGCTGCAACAGAAAAACCATTTGTCGCCAAAGACGCCTGGTCCGCTTACAGCCCCAGACAGCAGGGTTCCAGCCACATTACTACAACAGAAAAACCATTGGCTACAGTGGTTTTAAGCTTGCAAAAACATGACTAGAGTATACTTGGATTTCTACATGACAGAACAGATCAATTCTGGCAGCAGTGATTAAATTATGTGAAGAAACTGCCAAAATAGGATGAGAATAAACATTAAGAAACAATGAACCACATTATGCAATTTGCAACTTGGTACAGGACAGATTTTCAAAGACTCTCAGCTTCAGATACTAACCTGTTTTGCTTTCAGTGACTGAATCATTCTAAAGTAGTTCTGTTTGATGTCTTTAAAGTCTTCAAAAAAAAACCAACAAAACAAAACAAAACAAAACAAAAAACCAAACCACAGCCAAGTTCTCCCTGAAGTTATGAAGTCCCCTTTCCTAAAGTGTACACTGGCTTTGTGTAGTTCTTCTTCCCTTCCTCAATGTTTGCGCTCTCCCTGCTGGCTTAACTTCACACAGAGGGTTTTTTTGTTTGTTTTAAATGGTAATAAAAGTAAATACCATGCACAAAGATGTCTAGCTAAGATAGATGCCCAGAGTAAGTGAATGTTGTGACTGTTTATTCTTACAGAACAGATAGAACAAAGGGAGCAAATAACTGTTTAACACTTGGCCAGTGCAGATATGGACCTGGCCGATAGCCGATGAGGATCCGGCTAGCCACTTGATCTGAGATCCACGCCAAAGAATCAGCACTGTAAAACACACACAGCAGCTTTAAGATTCTCCATCCTCTGCTAGAAGCTTTTCTAAGGAAATTGCACAGTAAAATGTTATTATGTAACAGACCTGAATGCCCTTTTGGTGTTGAAAGCATCAGGGCTGAGGGAGAGAGGGGAGTTCTCCCCTTTTTGGCAGCAGCCAGTCCTCAGATCAGCCAAACCACCTGCAGGCCTTCACCTGAGGAGTGCCAGAGCGAGTTCATCTGAAGTGTTTCTGACTGGGGACTGTTGGAAAGTTAGATTTGTTTACTATCAAATGCATGGCTCGTAGCTGAAACACTATGTTAAACCAGTCAAAGGTCATAACACGCTCTAATTTAAAAAAAAAAAAAAGATAAATATAGACAAGATAATACAAGTTAACAATGCACATACCAGCTTCATTGTCGATCGGGAACTCCCACAGTATGCCTTCTTTTGTCCACTGGATCATCTCCTCAAAACCGTTTCGGGGAGGCTGTGCCGTTATTGCTGCAATCTCCTTCGCTAATTCCAGATCCCAAATTGTTGGTGAAGATACTAAAAAAGAAATTTTGTAAAGATCTGTCAGCATGCCAAAAACTTCTCACTAGCTAAAACAACCTGCTTTAACATTAACCTTTACGGAGACTAATACTTTCAGCTGTGCAAATTTTCCTACGTCAGATGCCAGCATCACCTTTCCCGAATGAGAACTGCCTGTTGAAATGAAAGTCCATTAAATTCTCAAACGTCTGGTGAAAACGTATTCTCAACTTCTAGGGGACAATTTATTTTTAAGCCTTTCACACAGAGCAGGAATTTAATTTCTCCACAACCCTTTTTTTCCTTTTCGTCTTTCACAAATTGTACATACAACAAACCAGGAACTTAACTGATGCACTCTGCTAAAGGAATCTCGATTACTACAGGAGTTTTCAGGTACTCCACAACTATAGCCTCCTTCAGGGAGATAATTCAATCTACAAATGATGGAAATTCCTTTCCCAACACTTGTAAGTGTCCCAGCTTTTGTCTCAGGCTTGAGAAATCCTGGCTTACTATTCTTCTCCTGAAGTCAAACAGTTCCTTTAGGGATGCATCTTTCCTGATGCTCTTTTTTTTTTTTTTTAAAAAAAATCAAAGTGTACTCAAATGGCAGCAGAGTTACTCTTAAGGAGTTCCTGCCCCTCCACCCAGGAGAACTGGTCATGAGCCCAGACTGAACCACATCGCTGAAGTGAAGGGAACGAGCTGTTACCACAGGACAGGGAGGAACCGCTGGGAGTGCCTCGGGCTGCTGTCTCATGAGCTGGCCTGAGTCGCACTCCCCTTTGTCGTCTTCTCTTCCCTGTTCCCAACTCACCCTAAGCCCCTTGGAACAGAGATCTTGATGTGAATTCAAGTGTTACAGTCCATTTGAAGCGGATCACAGCCAATCAGCTATTATTTTTCTACTCATAAGTGTAAATACCTGAAACTAAGATATAATTTCCTCTTTGGCTCAGTGGCTCACACTCAACTGGATTTTTTTTTTTTAAAGAAAAAAGTATCTCCCCCTGCCTTTAAGAAAAAACAAAATGAAAGGGCAAACAGTATTTTTTACACACTGAAGTGTTTTCATTTTTTGAGTTAAATCAGAAGATGCTTTTTACAACTATTTCTTACTTAGCGGGGAAATTTCCAGAACTATATTCCCTAGCTGCCTACTTTGATTTGAGGGCTGGAGGCAGGAATAAAATACAGATAAAAGACAACATAAGAAACCATACCAGAATGAAATTATTGTTCACAACTTAAAGAAGACCTTCTAATAACGTGCTACTAATAACTCTTCTAACAGAAGAGAGCAAAACCTCATTTTTTCGAACTTGCAGTAAAGGTGATATACATTGTATTTTCACCTCTGTGAAACAGAAAACAATACTGATATTTTATGTTAACAGTTATGAATAATTTTTTCAGGATGCCAATTTACTCTCCAACTAACATTCAGGTTTTCAGAAGAAATATTCAACACGTAACACAGAACTTTCTTTTCAGTCATGTATAAACAGTATTTTAACTCATTATCTCCGCTGATATGAGCCAAGAAAGGGAAAGCAAATGAATCAAGGTATCAAGTATCACACTGGTATTTCCCGAGATCAATGCAAAAAAATTTTTTGTCATCAGGCTTAGTCAGTAAGCCAAGTAATAAGCTTCCTGGCTTAGAAGGTATTGCAGATTTCCTCAAGGCTACCTGGAACCAAACGAGGAAACACGACATAAAAAGCTGAAAGAAGCTTAATTCTTAATATCTAATTACAAATCAAATAAAGTCCACTTGCTCTTTTACACAATTTGTTCACATTCCAGTTTTGGGGGGGGGGGGGAGCAAGCTTATCTCAACTTTTTATCTAGGGTGATTGTACTATGTGCCATTGCATCTGCATGGCGCTCATGCGAAAAAGAAAGGTTACATTCCCACTGTTTTACCTGAGCAAATCTGATTCAACTCAAACACCACTTACTTGAACATCGCACTTGTCAAGATAGCTAAAAACAAACACTGCATCACTCATTATGTTTTTATACATAAAATGGACTCATTTTAAGGAAATTGGCTGTCTTAAAGACAGAAAACTGAATTCCATTTTAATAAGCAACTTTCATAGTCCTCCACAGAGGTGGTTGCATTCAGAAAGCTCACAGCTGCTTGAAAATATGCAAATAGCACTATCTGACATTTTACTAAAGAAATTAAGTAAACAAATTAATTTCTCCCTGCAGCTTCAAGTGTAAAAAAAAGGATAAAAGTACTCAGCTGGCAAAAACTAACAGTCCTACTCTTGAAACAGAAACAAATACGTATCATTTTGTAAGATATCAGAGAGGAATACTATTTCTTCTGCAGCTGCTGGCTTTATCTACAGCTCTACTTCACTACACTGGAATAAAGTTTTTTTCCAAAGGGCCTCAAAACAGCTTAGGGAAATCAGCGTATTAAAGATTGGTGCTAACAATGCACAGTTTCATGGTTCAGAAAGAAAACTGAGGGAGTTCTTTACATGACTTGCCTATATTCACATGCTCTTAGCTTTACTACCGAGTGGGTTTTGGCTAAGTCTTCATGTATGAAAGCTATCCCCCTTATGTGGCATTAAGACTATTCCTGCAGAGCCATGCCATTTTTGTGCTGTTTTGCCATTGGTTTTTCTCTTACATGAGTTTTGGCATGTATATTCAGTGGATAAAGAATTCACTGGATGGTCGCATCCAGAAAGTAGGGGTCAGTAGCTCAATCTCTGGATGGAGATCAGTGACAAGTGGTGTCACTCAGGGGTCCGTATCAGGATCAGTGCTGTCTAACACAGAATCACAGAATGGTTTGGGTTGGAAGAGACCTTAAAGATCATCCAGTTCCAACCCCCCTGCCATGGGCAGGGACACCTCCCACCAGACCAGGTTGCTCAAAGCCCCATTCAGCCTGGCCTTGAACACCACCAGGGAGGGGGCAGCCACAGCTTCTCTGGGCAACCTGTGCCAGTGCCTCATCACCCTCAGGGTGAAGAACGTCTTCCTAATACCTAATCTGAATCCACCCTCTTTCAGTTTGAAACCTATCACTGCACTCCCCGATCAAGAGTCCCTCCCCGCCCTTCCCGTAGGCCCCCTTTAAGTA